TTGACAAGGATGTGATGAATCATGTTCGGGTTGAAGGTAGTGATTAAAATGGTTATTAGTAGTTGTGTCTGTATGGGTTGGTTTGTGGTAAATTACGTCAATGTTGACTTTAGTAATTGGGAGGTCTAAAAAGGTTATGGAATTATTGGTTTCTAGGCCTATTGTAAATTTCATGTTTCCGTGAATAGAACTGATGTACTTATTGAAAAAATTACTGTAATTTTTGACAAGTTCCTGTGAAGCAGGCTATAACACCGTCAAGATACCTATAACAAATACATTTTTAGAAATATTGGATGTTGCAGAAGAAATTGTCCATAAAAATTTCAGCAAGGAGGGGGCCTAGAGGAATGTGCATTATGAGCCCTCCTTTGTTGTTATTAAATTGTGTTATCGATTTTGAAACAGTTTTGATCTAGACATACTGATAATAGTGAACGGATATCAGAATGAATAAAAAGGTTTGTATGATTTTTGAATAACATTTTATCTTCGAATTCATAGGAATATTGAAATTTTCTTTTGAACAATCAACAAGAAGTTATTCAACCAGCATTACTGAATCTACCTATTTGGCCAGAATTAATCATTTATCTAATTGAGTATTGTTATGAAATGCCAATATTTTACCTGTTTTCCTAGAAGTAACTTATCTAAGGAATTTTGTCAAAACCTTGTGTTACATAAAAGACATCATAAAATTGTTTCTTGTACTAGTAACTGATGGAGTTACTGTGTAGCAAAACGCGTTTCAAATAAAATTCATTGTGAAAATTCTATAATTCATCATTTATAGTGTTATTAATTTTGATCAAGGAGCCGATCAGAGTATGCAAAATAATTTCAAACTATAGATTTGAATTTGAAAAGGAATATTTTAGGAAGAGATTTGTTTTTTGTAGTACAAACTGAATGGAAAAAAGTGCAATTACTTCTTTCGATGGCGTTTGGTTACAATACAATGGATACAATAGAATTTCAAATAGACAAAAACTGCGGCATGAAAGTTTTGTGACGTCAGAAGGGATGTATGTGACGTCAAAAGGGATGCACTTAGTTGGCATTAATGCCTGGACGGACTTCAAAATCAAAGTAGTTACGTAACATAAACATTTTTGTGGATTGTATTTCCTATCAGCTTGGCAACACTGGATTAAATGTCAGAAACTGTCTTCTGTCATCCCATTTTACTTTTGGGATCTTTCTTTTAAGTCGTTAGATATAGAATGAAATCGAAGTTGTGTACTTTGCTGTTTCTTTGAAGAGATTTATTAGAAAAATAATGCTTCACAAATATTATATCAGCAGGTACGTCATCCCATTTCAGTTTTGGGATCTTTGTTTTGAGTCATCAGATATAGAATGAAATTGAAGTTGTGTATTTTGCTGTCTGTGAAGATGTTTATTAGAGAAATAATGGTTATATTGTGCCGAACTGCGAAAGCACCTCCTTATCTACGACAAATAAAGTTCAAAAAGGGCCATATCATACGAGTATAATAGAAAGACTTTGAACTGACATGACATGATTCGGGTACCAATAATTACAACTTTTTCCACGTGTAAAGACCATTCAATGTAGGTAAAATTCTCGATAATTTCGTAACAAGTAAAAACAAATCCTTTCTCAGCACTTGCAGAGAATATAGCAAAATTGAGTTATTAATTTTCTAGTTTTTCACTGTATATAGTAACGCACTTAAAGCGCTATTCATCAATAAATTATGAACATCTGAATCTTTCATATTAGCCAAAATATGAAACCAACAATTTCATTATGCTAGAAAGAAATATGTTTCATTATTTCTTACCTTTTGGCTTTGACTCGCCGCATTTCCACAGACGCAAATAATGTATTATTCCAAAAACAATCTAGCCATGATCTTTTCATATAACTCTGGGAGATTATCCCACTGAGTTTTTTCCTTTTTAGTGATTATTTTATTGCATAAATAACACATTCACACAGTCACTATTATTACCCCATTATCCATCGGGAATTCACAAAGCTAGTCCGATCAAAACTGACGTTATGCAAATGACAGAGGCTCATAATGGCGCACACTGTTGCCAGATGATTATATTTCACTCAATGGCACTGATGTTCAATCAAATAAGTGTTGAAAGGGAAAATGAAGTATTCTTCAGTCACAATATTATGTTGAATTTGTAAAATGAGTCGCCCTAATTTGTCCACACAGAACCTTTTAACTATTTAAATATATCAGATCTGACTTGATCGTATGTAATCCGACAACACTGTTACATTAACAGTCTTTGAGCAAGCCTTTCAATGAGACGTAAAATCTATTGAACTTTCAGTAAGAATTTTGCGACATATACATTTTTGTTTGATATTGTCATTTGTTTCACCTTCCCAAGATTTTCATGTGCTCCACCTGTAACCTATTTTCTTCTTCATAGTTCTGAAAATCATGTGTTTATGAACGGTATCACATGACTCCCCAGGAATTCAGCATGGGCTTGCGGTTTAAAAAAGTAAAATTGGAAGTTCACCCTGTTAGATATAAATTGGCAAAGATAGAATTGAGAAATCATTATGATGACAACTCGTTTGGCGAAACGCGCATCGAGACGAATGTTGCAGTTCTGGTGCATGAAAACAGTGTTTGTGTTGTATTGAACAAAAGTAAACTTCCGTCTGGAAAAACTGGAAAAACTTTTGTCAGTTACTTCAAAATCCAATTCACTTTTCTTTAGGAGAAGGTTAACTGTGTCAAAGCAAGTTTTTTGGCTATTCTCTGCACGTTTTCATGCCTGACGTTTCGTCTACTACTGCGGTAGACATTATCAAAGGCGATTACTTGATGAGGTAACGGTCGTAATGCTCGGGTTGGTGCTCAATTTGTTGTTCCCAAAGCAAAAACTACAATGCTGATATTTGACTCCGGTTTCATATTAATATTGGTGGAGGTGTTTTGGTTTATCTTAATAGAATTACCTGACCATGTTTGTTTACAATTATGGACGGGTAGCCACATTTCATTAATGTTCATTGTCTCTTTTTTATATTGAAAATATGGACTTGTTTCATGCTATTGAAATTAATACTGGTTTGCTTATAGACTGATGGAGTTAGGGGTATATTATACTTATCGAGCGTAATTGATCCCGATACCTCTTTATCTTTGCAGAAAAAAAAAATCGAGAAGCAAGAGTTTAAATTGGCCGCGTGTCAGTTGACCAGTAAAATTGATCGTATCCACAGTGGTGTTGCCAAGTGCCAATTATTTTAACAAAAATACGAAGTTATGAAAGAGTACATTGTCTAATACATTCAAGAGAGACAGCTGACTGGGTGGCAATATGGCTAATATATAATGCTGAATTTCTTATTTCTGGTGGGTGGCATGAATGCATAATTGATTTATTTTACTAGGGTTCATGAGCCTTCGAGAACCATTTAAAAATGTAGCTCGTTAAATCCTATTTGAACCATAGTTTTCGAGTACATTTTATTTCTTATGGAGAATTTTTTCATGAATTTAAACGGTAACGGTTTCATATACACTTCCATTATTAAAATGTCAACATGAAAATGTCTACTGCCGGAGATATTTCAAAAACCACGTTTTTATTGCGTTTTGTGTTATTTGTATCCCACGTATAATTGATTCTCCCTTTCAATGGATTTCTTACACTTTCTTCTCAGATTTAGCTGTCGAAAGTAAGTGTGATTTTACTTTGGATCACGAATGAATCAGAAACTGTTTATACGCTCCGAGAATTTTACAGTTTGGCAATGTTCATTATTTGTATTGTTTCTATTGGTCAATCGAACAAGAAGCGGTACTAGGCCCGTGACGTCACGAGCCTAGATAATTCGATTTTCAATAATTAATTACGGAAAAACAACGGGCGTAATAACCTGCAGACCACGGCCGAAAAACCCGAAAAGTAGCTTCAAAATAGTAATTTTCCTTTTTACATTCTTTGAAAGTTAACTCTAATTTTCATTATTTGTTTTCTGTAAAGTACGATTCCTAAACTCGAAAATCAGACTTTAATTTCGAAATCACTATTGAAAACACGAAATTATGACTTCAATCACGAGATTTCGAGTAAAACTCCAAAATCTGATATAAAGTAGAAATTTTGAGTTCAAAGTCGTAACTTCAAGTTTAAAGTCGAAATTCCGAAATTGAAATCTAGATTTCGAGTTTAAGGTCGTAATTTTGAGTTTGAAGTCGAAATCTCAAGTTGAACGTCGTAATTTTGACGTTGAAGTCAAAATTTTGAGTTTGAAGTCAAAATTTTGAGTTAAGTAATTTCAACTTTAATCTCGAGTAAGGGCGATCACAACTCCCTCTCCGTAGGGGATATCCGAACCCTCGAAAATCAAAGATGAACGAGACACCACAAGGCAGTCAGTTGCAAAGCAAAGCTTCGAAATCAACCGCCGACGACCACCGCAAAGCTAGGCTCTGCAACTGACCGCCTTGGGGAGCCTCGTTTATCTCTGATATTTGGGTATTGGGTTCTCTGTCGATCCCATAGATGGCGTCCTCGTCAGGGGAGATGTTATCGCCCTCACTTGAACTAAAAATTTCGATTGTTAAGTCGTAATTTGGAGATTGAAGTGGCAATTCTCAATTATTAACAAGTAATGAAAATATGTGGCCCTTCTGCGCTTTCGTAAATGTTGATAGGCTCGTTCTTTTATGATTTTTCGTCGTATTCTCTATTTACTCAGCTCGTAATATATTATGTGCATTTAATTTCAATTTTATTCCATCTCATGGAATTGTATTACTTTTTCGTAATGTATCGTTCCGTGTCTCACAAATTCCAATGGAAATATAAAAATCATTGAGATTGATATGCCACATTTTGTGCGACGAATACCCAGAACCTCAGTGTTAATAATTCAAAATTCGAACACAAATGGCTTCTGTTGGGGTATCCAAAGCACATACTACTAAAAAAGCTTTGATATTAAAATCCAAGCACGGTAAGTAGGTATAGTTGGAAAAACTCACCTTGGACTGTGGCTGCTCGTTCTCGTAATATGAAGTCAGCTGGGCTTGGAGGGGGAGTCTTGGAGAACTTCGGGGATTTGGGATCTGAAAAAAGGTTTGACGTAATCTGATCGTATGACAGAGGAGGGTGCTTTTGAAAATTCAAATTAATAAGTTGGTAACTGGCACTCAGAAAACAGAAATCAAATTGAAGATTCAGAAGAAGAAGAAAAAGAATATGTTTATTGAAATAGGTAACCCTAATATACAATATTATATAAAACATGTTACTCACATTATAGAAAGTGAAAATGATTAGTTTCTTGAAATGTAGATATAGTTCAAAATTGAAAAAAAAAATAAAAATTTCTAGTTTGAAAAATAACGACATATGCTATTGAAAATACATTGCCATATAAGTACAGCTCCAATACAATGATGAATAGAAGAAAACAACATACAACATACTAAGTATATTTATTGATATCATCTTATCAAGTATCATTCTATCTAGCATTATGGATGAATTTCAATAACTGTCTTTAAAAAACACTTAATGGTGGACTAGATTCAATTACATTTGGTAATTTATTGTATGAAAAATAAAGAATTTTTGGCACTTGTCCTATTTGTTCTGCATAAATTCAGACAGATTCAGTCTCAATCGAATATGTAACCCCATTTTAAGAAATTCTAGAATAACGAACAGGACAACAGATAGCAAGATTGTCAATGTTCCAGGTTCAAGTGCAGGTACGAGTACAGGTACAAGTGCAGGTACAAGTGCAGGTACAAATACAGGTACAGATACAGGTACAAATACAACTGATTACCTGACAAGGCATAAATACGCTTTACGAAGCCTAAAAGGGTAGTCGATAGGGAAATAAAAGCACCTAAAGGCTGGTTTCCAACAAAAAGAGGTTAGATATCAATCTTGCTGAAGTGCCAGCAGCTGGATTGAGAACCGTTTCCTTAAGAAACGGGGGTGGAAGGAAAGGGTCGCCAGGTCCAAACCTGCGGAAGCGATTCCGCAAGGAGGGAGCTTGCGACCTGGGCACACAACCCGGGAGGGGCATGGGGGGTAAAAGGGTAGTCATTGGACAGCAAGCCATGGTGAATAAACCTCTGAAGAAGCTAACCACTCGCACCAGCGAAACGTCAGGAAAAAATTTCAAAAATCCACGGCTTTCAAACTCGAAAAGCAATGACACTGACCCTTCATCTAATCAGTTTGAAAACCGGAGTTTCCTTCAGTTTGGCTCACTCTCTACATGTATTTGATTATTGGTTGAATTTTCACAATTCGAATAGTTTTATGTATACAATACTAGTACTACGTTGCTGTATAGCTGCTGTTCCAATGTTTTGAAATAATCAGAATCGACAAACTTAGGCGTGTGCAGCGTAATAGAACAGTGCTTTCAAAACANGGAGGTGGCCCAAGTCAGATGACACCCTGTATAAAAGATTCACGGATATATTCTGAGAGCCCACATCAAGTGCCAATAGCAAAATGTAGACAGATTTTCAATATGTCTGCGAATAAAGAAGATATAGGCAAAAAAATAATTTGAACCAATGTTCTGTCAAAACATTGGAACAGAACAGAATATGGGATTTTTTGGTTTTTCCTGTATTTCTCCAGAACCAAAAGAGCTATATTCGATTTCTTTACATCATTGAATAGGTCTCTAAAATACGCAACTTTGCCATAACCTACACTCTATCTCTTATCGTTCACGAGATTCCCGTGGATAGAAACGAATTTGAATAGCCCTGTATATATGATTTTGATTCTATCTGTACTTTTGTATTGGAAATTGTGTGTATCTTCTTTCAATTTTTGAATTGCATTGATTGAAATGGGCCTTGATCCAGTGAATGAATAAATAAATTATATTTGTTTCGGCTTTGTTGGCGGTGAAGGGCACTTCCGCTCGAACAGATACCATACACTAATCAGTTGAATATTGTAACTTTGGACAAATATTTGTGTGGATGGAAAAATATTCTTCAATTCGGGAGAGTTAATAACCTCTTTCACTCCCCCTATGAGTCTAAACTTAATGACCACTCAGAGTATATTAACTGGTGCTCATTATTTATGGTGGGAGAGCATAAACTTCATTGAAAAAAATGATAAACAATGTGTTACAATCATTGGTTTCACTCACCTTCATCTGCGATCAATTTTGGCATAATTTTCTTCTTATCAAAGCTCTGCGTTACTCCCTCCAAAAGCTCCGAATCTCCTGCGGTCTTATGCGATATATCTGATATGAATGTGCGGGTCTCCTTCACCGTAGTTGATTTCGGTTCTTGTGATTCCTTGTATGAAACAGTTTCGAGGACTTTCGAATCAGATGGAATTGTGGTTTTTATTTCGATGGTCCTTGATACCGTTTTTGTTTCAGGTGTAACAGTTTTGTCGTCGATCGAGACTGTTTTTGTTGTTATAGTTTTCGTTTGTTCATCTGTGGTTTTTACTTTCTGCTGAACTTCCGCGATTTTGTCTTCGACCAAGTTTTGTTCTTTTATTGTTGTGATCTCCTGAACAATTTCACGACGTTGTGAAGAAGCAGGAATTGTTCTCTCGGCCGATAAACGTTTTTGTATTTGTTCTCTGCGCTCTGCCACAGGCTTGTCGAACGTTTCTTCGTCTTCTTCCTCTGATTTCTCTATTTCTTTCTCTTCGGCTGAGTATTTATCGAAAAATTCCAATTTTACTTTAGCTGAAACAAGCAAATTTCATTTAACCATATTGTGAGAAGTGATTTGAATACAAAATATTACAAAAATGTTGACAACTTTAACTAATGAAATTCAGTGAAACCGATTGATAAAAAATCATGATCTGGTTTGCAGTTCAGACTAGTACGATGGAGGCCTAATGCTAATAGGAAAAATGTAGCAACATCATTATATCGATGAATAAATGTTATTATTTTTTCAATTACAGTGAGTTAAGAAAATCAATTTCACCAAAAAATAGAAATTTCGTTGGATTATCTGAACTAGAATGTGTCAGTTGTTTGTAAAACGATAAAGCACCATCAAAAACCACAGTATGTCGCTGGTATAGTGAATTTAATCGTGGTCGTAGTTCGGCCTCCGACGAATTCCGTGAAGGTCGTCCAAAATCTGTTGTTGTGCCAAAAAATAGATACAGTGCGATAACTGATAGAAGCAAGATCGTTATGTGACATATTGTGAGATAGAGTCACCCTTGTACATTGTTTCTACTCCAAAACATTCGATTTTGCATGAACACTCAGTTGTAAAAAAATAGTTTGTGTTGGATACCCCATAATTTATTAATCGCTCAAAAAAGGCTCGAGTCAAGTGGTATAAGGAAATAATTAAGAAGTTTGACCGTGGTGCTCCGAAAGACATGTTTAAAATCGTGACAGGTGTAGAATCATGGATATATGCCTATGAGTCGAAAACGAAACAGCAATCAACCGTGTGGGAATTCTAAGACGAGCTAAATCCAACAAAAGTTGTTCATGAAGGAAGTGCAACGAAGCGAATGGTCACCTATTTCTTCGGCCGAATGGGTCGTGTGGCCACTGTTCCGCTTGAGCAACATAAAACGGTCAATTCTGAGTGAAACACGACCATTTCGCACCCTTGGAATGAAAGTGACTCAACTCAAGATTCCTGTAACTCTCGATTTTACCATAAACTGACCTTATAAAGCAAACTCTATAACCCTGTAAAGAAAAAGTGACCTATCTCTAAGTATAACAAGGACAGCGCGTGTTTCGGTCTCTTTTACTGTTCCCGGTATTCATTTATGCATGTTGTGTGAAGGAGGCAGAACTAGTATTACGTCAGAAGTGCTTTCGAGTAGACGAGAAGTTGGCTATTTTTTGGGATACGTCTCCTCAATATGAAAGTTTTGTACGTTATGTACTTCACAAGTTTACTAGTTGAAATGACAACATCAAGACGAGTTCAAGAGATATTTAGTTTGGTGGGAATAACACCTTCAAAATTGCAGACTGATGAAAAAAAAAACAAAACAGGAAGCCTTTGACTGAATGTCTCAATAGCAATGTTGCTCAATGGGTAGAAAATCAGTATCCACCTATTCCGAATGACTGGAGTTGCGATAAAGAAAACCAACGTAATTCTGATGCTGTATATTATAATGAATGCATATTACTACATCCAACACTTCCGTCTCAAATTGAGGACTTACATACACACGTCCACCTAGATCGTGATGTAGGTGAAGTAATTAATGATAGCTAAGAGGGTTACGTGGAAAAAATTCCGTCACAGAAAGCCATCATTAATCCTGAAACAAATAACATGTCACCATCATCATCGAAGATTTCATCTGGATCTCGCCTCAGAAGAAAATCGACTCGAATAGGTATATACAAGATTTCACCATTACACTCCGGCGAAAGCGATGTGGACCTGAGCGGTAGCGATCCGACGTTTATTGTGCCAGAGAAGAAGGGTTCCCAAAGTCGCAAGGGTTTAACTAATTTTGACTCCCGCTCATCTCACAGTCAGTCGTCTCCTCCTAACAATTAACCTGCCCGTAGTTTGTTGTCAAAGATAAAATCCTCCCGTTGAAATCCATCTTCGTTCATCTAGTAGCAGTTCTTCATCTAGCAGCAGTTCGTCATTAAGTAGTAGTAGTGCAAAAACACCAATCAAGATAGCAAATTTTTCCTACAGCAGAAAAAGGAGATGGGATACCACGAAATGGAAGCAAACGTCCCCTAAAATTGCAAGGAATGGTGGGCAAGCATACACTTCTATATCTAAATCAAAACGTCAAATCAAAGCACGCTCCGTATAACCACAGCGTTCTCAAAGGTGTAGGCTTAAATGTCGAGACAATATCAGCAAAGAGCAGAGATCGAGTCTTTTCAAAAAATTGTGGGATTTGAATAAATTTGATCTACAGCGCTCCTTTATCAATTCAAGTATGGCCGGAATAGCTCAAAAATATCGTTACTCTATTGCTGAAAATCCAAAATAATTCAACCATGCATTCTATTTCACTCACTTATTCAACTACCTTCAATCCATTGATGCAGGATCCGGAGGATCCGCTATAAATAAATTCATGGCGAGTTTCTTTTCATTTGCGGTTGTGTATTTTGAAAATATTCATTCCATAACTCATAAATTTTTGATACAAGGCCATACAGAAAATGAAGGGGACAGCGTGCATAGCTTGATAGAGAAAGAAGTGAAAAAAGAGCCTTCAGTTTGGTCTCATATACATTCCTCAACAATACGTCACCTTGATGAGAAGTGCTAAAGAGAATCAGTAACCAACTCTTGTTCACGAACTTGATTTTCAATATTTTTTTGATTCAAAAGATCTACTACAAGTTCAATGGGGCTACAACTTCTCAGAAAATGAAGATAGAGAAACGTATAACTGGAATACTATTAAATTGCTGAAGTTTACGAAAGAAGAACCATTTCTGATATATTAAAAGACTTCTTACAAGGATTATATTAAAAAACTTAACGTCAGAAACAAAAGGAAGAAATTGCTACACTAGAACAATTGGAACTTTGAAAACTGTATGTTAGTACTTAGCAGTACTAACAAAAGAAAGGATCTCCAATGTTTACGCTGCTTTTTATCAATCTTTATTTAACAATGAGTGAAAAACCCTATTAAAACAAAGTTTCTACTACAAATCTCACTCGTCGATATTAATGACTAATTGAAAATATATTTTTTGTTCTGTTGTATAAGGATGTGATTTTTATTTTCTGTTTAAAATAGTAACTCTGTCATGTGATTCTCAGTTATAGGTACTAGAGTTTAGACTGTGAATGTTATTCTTCATTACTAAGTTCAAAGATATATTTTGTTTTGTTATCAAAGTATGTGAATTTTAATTTATAATTTGCAAAAGTAACTCTTTTATGTGATTTTCAGTTACTATGTTTGCTAAATTGATTAAACACCAGACTTTTCAGTTTGTAAGCGTAATGTGAATTACGGGTAATCTAAGACTACGTTTCTAAAATAATTTGTTATTTGCTAGTCAAAAGTGGCAATCAGTTACTACAACCTCATTATTGATAAGACTTGAATGAAAAGTTATTAAAACTGTTATAAAGATTTGAAATAAATAGATACATTTGAATTTTAAAACTTTGCATTTCAATTTACTACCTTGTATTCACAGAACTTTCAGTACAACAATGACTTATTATTCATTATGTCAACCGAATGCTCTCCAATATGCGTCATAAACAGACCTAACTCATAAAAAATCTTAAAAAGTTCAAAAATAATTTTGCAATAGTGACCTAATTTGAAACTACTTTATATTTAATGTCAAAATATATATTAAAAATATTATAAATACAAAATTACTTGGCCACGGTGTACTCAAAAGGCTAATCCATAAATCTGCTAAAAATCGATCTAATGCGTCGGAACACAAAAGAGTTATATTGAGATGTATTCAATACTATAATTTTTTGAAAACTTTCTTGCTCATTTACCACAAACTGCATTTTTTGAATTTAGTCACCTTCATTCTAAGGGTGCGATTTGTTAGCCGGAAGTCTTCGAAGAAATTCGTAAAACTAACCGCCGAAGATGAATTTCTCTATCATGACAATGCGAGCTCTCACACATGTCACACTCAATTGACTCCTTCTTGTTCCCGAATATCAAAGGTAAACTGCGTGGTCAACGATTTACGAGTGCCGAAGAAGCAGTTGAAGCGTTCGAAAACTATATTGTGGAGGAATAGATAAACTGCTTTGACAAATGGTTTGAACGAAATCAAAAGTGGGAAAATTTCGAGAAATAATAGAGCCATTTTCATCAAAAAATGTTCGTCATAATTTGCCATTCCCGAAATATAAATAGTACCACTCTTTGAATTCTTTTCATTCTTTTTTAAATATTTCAGAATGTTCATGTAGCTCTCGTCTGTCATCTACTTCATTCTACTTACAGTCTGGTCAAGGAGGCCATTTTATTCTATTTGAATTCAATATTGATTTTGCTTTCTTCTGTAGAGGACACTACCTATATGTTTTTTTTTCACTTCTGAATAGTCATCGTCAGTTATCAAAATATTTCGAAAATGATTATTTGTAGCGACTTCCGATACGAATACATTTTACGTAAAAATGACATTTATTATGTAGAAAATGAATTTTATTATGTTGAGAAAGTTATCAATATCGACATTACTACAAAGATTATTTATATGAAACAAAGCTGGAAAAACCTTTATAAGCCTGTCATTAAAAAAAAACATTACGGACCCGTGCTTATTTTTCTTGAAAATACATGAAAAATCGTCCGCACCTGCACTCATTGATTTTCATTTTTGCTCAATTTTTTATAACTTTAACTTTCTTCACAACATCAATTTGTAATGTTAGTTTATATCAGTTCCATACGAATGATATTCGTTTTCAACCATCTTTTCAAATTATGAATGGACTGGCCCGTTACTTGATGAAAATTATTAACACTATCCATGATGATAATTTACCAATTTTCACAAACATTTTTCAGTGGGCTATGCTTGAAGACAGTCAGCGAACAAATTTAAAGAAATGAACTTTAAATGTTCAAGCTCGTCTTGGATATACCTACACGGTAGGTTGAATGGACTGACGCCTATCAGAAAACAGCTACTCCACTGGCTAATACCACGAACGGCGTTGGATCATATCCGACAGGCGTCAGTGCAGGAATCTTCATAGAAAATTTCCTGCATATGCAAATGGCAATACAACTGAAAGAGTCGACCCTCAATTTTGGAACGGGCACACTAGCAGACCGGTTTCGGGCTCCTTAGCCCGTATTAGCCAGTGGAGTAGTTGTTTTCTGATAGGCGTCAGTTCATTCAACCTACTGTGTAGGTATATCCGAACGGGCTTGAACATTCAACATTCATTTCCCTGATTTTTTCACTGCCTGTCTTTAAGCATAACTCAGTGACTAATAAAAAAGTTTTTCTTTCTTATTCAGAGGAATCGGGCAAATTTCGGATATGCAGTTGGTTAGTACCTTGTCCACTAGATGGAGTGACATTTTGTTGTTCGCTGCAACTTAGGAAGAGGAATGAAATACTGTGAAAGAATTCCGATTTTTAATTATGAAATATCATTGACTTCAGGTTGATGATAAGCATAACTCAGTGACTGATAAAAAAGTTTTTCTTTCTTACCCAGAGGAATGGGGCAAATTTCGGATATGCAGTTGGTTAGTACGAGGGTATCCGAGACGAGCTTGAACATTTAAAGTTCATTTCTTCAGATTTATATAATTAATCCTTGCAGAACACAAGTACCCGTAAAATGAACGAACTTTTTTTTAAACAATTTCATTGAATTGTTTTTTTTTCAAAACTATTCAATGTTTTTCAATTGTTTTGGTGTCTAAGACTAGCAGGAGCGATTCCTCTGACTCGCAAGCCAACTTACAACGCAATATGGGGGCTTTGGCGGACCTTATGAAGTTTATGGAAGTTTGACACTGCTCTCATACAAAAACCCCAGGTCTACAGTGTAAAGACCATGGAAATATGAATCACTCAAAGGATTTTTCATGTATGAGAACATGAAAATATTTAAATATACTGCCATTAAGTAACTTCTTTACCAGAGACGAAGGTTGTCAAATTAAAAATGTCTGGTGAGGGATAGTGTCAGAAAATAGTCACTGGATTAGTATATCGTCCTTACGATAGTCAGGAACCGTCACCAAACACAAATGTGAACGAGCTAATGACAGCGTGCCGAGCAGACAAATCACAGCTCGTAATTGGTAGTGATACCAATGTCTACCATCTGACCCGGGGGACCACTGACACCATTGAAAGAAGTGGTGAACAATCACAACAGTTCATTATGGTAATAATTGTAAGCGCAGCCTGTAAACTTACCCTCATACGATGCGTAGGAAAGCAACACACTTGGTGGGTCTCATACCTTGATCATATATCATCAAAACAAACGGAAACAAAAGACCTGGAAACTTGCACATAGGCTCCAGGGAGGTTTTGGAACAAGACAGTTTGGAAGCAGATCGATTATTGGGGAATGCCAAGTCCTAATGAATAAATTGAAGAAAAAAATACCAAGGAGTGTACAGAAACAAGAGTAGAGACTATAAGAGAGCTGTTTCAGCTGTACTTTCTCGGGTCAAATCACAAATCAAACATTGGAGTTCTAGACGAACTCTGAACTGGAGATTCTTGAAAGGGCATCCAGGAGGGACTAGTACCGGTACAAGGTGGCATTTATATCCAGTAATGCTCCAAAGAGAGCCGAAACTACTACTTCAAAAATTGTGTGCAATCCTCAGACCAAGTCCCGCTCTAGGATACATATCAAAACCATGGACACTGATTGAAACCATCTTATTTCCGAAACTTGGGAAAATCGGACAAGACTTCAGATAGCTTGAGACCAATGAGTATAATGTTTTTCCCATCAATGACATTGAAAAAATGTCTTGACAGGCATTTCAGGGACATTGCATTGGCTACCAGCCAATTGCATCGAGACCGATATGCGTACAGATCAGGTATATCAATGAAAACGATTTGTGGCCAGGCCACAGAATAATCAGGATATGCTTGCAAGAAGAAAAAATTACTTTTAGCTGCTTTCTTGAATCAATCATCTAGGTGTCGAGGATAGGATGGATAGATGACAGAAGCTGCCGGTGGATAGTCTGCATTCTCAGAAGAAGATTGGTATACACGTACATTATGGGAGAAATAGTGATGGCAAGGGGTTGTTCCCAGGGTTAGTTTTGTCACCATTGTTACGAAACTCCATGACGGATAAATTACCATATCTTCTGGACCATAATGGACACAAAGTATTGGGCCATCCTAGTCCAAGGCGAATATAATAATTTAGTGACAGAATCCATGTAGCAAGCACCGAATATTATAACAAGATGATCTCATGAAGAAAGACTGAATATAAACACATTCTCCAAAAATTTGAGATGAAGAGATAGTTTTGTCGATGGGGGTCAAATATCTGGAAGAGATTCTAGATCCTAGACTGATCTGGAATCAACATCTAAAGAGAAAGTAAAAAAAAACGAACGTAGTGCTGATAGTGGCCAGACGCACTTACCGAAAAATGTGGGGGCTGAAACTAGACATGGCTTATTAGCCCTATATCATGGTGGTTAAACCTATGATAACATATGCATCTATGGTCTTGTGATGAAAGATAAAATAATCTACCGTTGTTAATTAATCAAGCAGCTATCGATCCTGGTTGAGAGATTGACAAATGGAAATATGAGGTTCATCACTTCACTTGTCCTCTGAAGATGGTACTAGTGAAGTGGTATTATAAAGCCACTTGACAATCCTACCAATTCATGACAATATAAGAGTGGGCTATTTGGAAGTTTGTCTCAAATTTCCTATTCCGAAAATATCCCAGATATTTTGAACAAATTTGTAGAAGTGATGAAGAATTCAATGTCGCAATGTTATTATATTTTTTTCTCAGTACATTTTTCACTTCACCATCTTCTGAAAATTAGGGTTTCTCAACTCATATTACATATTTCATATATTGTTCTTGTTCTTTTAGCACTTCCAATGGAATAGGTGATTTGTTGTCCAATATTAAAAATATCGGGCACTAATAGATCATAGTTCAATTACTGAAGAAAGTTATTTATCAGATATATGGCTAGTTATATTATGATTGAATTAAAAATCAATTTGGATGTAGTTGAAATCATTTATACAGTTAACTCAATTACTTAGGGTTGAATTTTTGATATAACCGTATACTGAAACAAATCTATATCATCCGATTTATCCTGATCTATAACATCTGAGAAATATTTTTCAACCCATTTGCACTAAAAAATTAATCCAACCCTGGTTGTTGGGTCTCTAGATTTTTTTTTTCTTCAATTACCTTTACACTTTCGTTATTCATGAAGAAAGACTACTTTGATGAAGGGTAAATACTCCCATCTGTGATAATTGAGAGAGTTGAAAATTAGATGGGATTTGTTAACCTGAACTATTAAAATATGCCGTTAGTTTCGAGTAATCATCAAGCCTTTAGAATCTCCCATTGATGGCGATTACTCTTTAAAGGATGGATGTAGGTGGTATAACACTTTTTATCATATTACTGTTTCACAATCTTCAATTTCTGACAACCCTCGAATCAAATTACTATTGATTGAGTCAAAAAATCTTCATTGATAAATATTACATGCAGCCTTTGACGTTGCAATATGAACGAACATACATTGACCATTAGGAATTCAGTGAAAAATATCATACCTTCTTGTCTATCTGCTCTCACCCTTTGGCCCACTTCATCACTCACAGCATCATTGTCTATACTATCTATATCTTTTTTCAGTCTATATGTTCCTATCTCCTCGTGTTTTATCCTAGTTATTGTTGGACCAGCATGGTCAACATTTAGGCACTGGGGTATTATATCTTCTCTCCCTATTCTTCGCAAGGCATTCTCTAACGTATTGGTTTGTGACTTGTTGCCGGATTGAGACAACCACATCCTGTAAAATATGTTGATTGAATGAGAAGAATGCTAATGCTAATGCACAAATTTTTTGTGATTGTTGCACAGTACCAAAGATTGAAAAATGAAATTCCAGACCCGTTTCGGGGCAAGGTCGGGGTAAAAATTAACTTATAATCTCCAACCCTCCGCCCCTTCAACCTGAATTCAAAAAGAAGATGAAGATGCATAGACACCAGAGAAAAATTCCCAAAGGTTTTGGAGAAGGGCCAGTGCAAAAAAAGAGATTTATGTTGAATTCAAATTGGTGAATAAATTATTGATTTGAAAAAACCGTCCCGAGATGTTTATTCCTCAAGAATGATGTTCTTTAACTGAAATAGTCCTCAAAAAGTGTAGTTTGAGGTGTGTTGAGTTGAACTTTGAAGTGATTGGCAGGTGCTTTTTGCTACGTCCTTTTAACTTATACCGGGCTTTTAGTGGAATCAAGCGGATTGAGTCAGTCGAACCCTTTTCTTGGAAGCATCTTATTTATTCATCGTATGGCATCACAACTCACATATCAACGTTTCATTAAAAAAATAACGAAACAAAGATGTAATATAGTCACAAATGTACATCCAACAGTTGTTAATAGCGAACATCTTTCATAAGTAGCGAATTGCTTTGTGATTGACTTCCTAAATCATCATCAGTTGACACTTTTCCATTATATTGTACCAGCTGCCTCACTTACAATACCACAGTCGCACATGGGAAATGGTTGCTTGCCACACTCGTTTGAAAAGTTGATACACTTGTCATGATTTGTTAAAACTATACAGGGTGTTTCAAATTCGATCCTTACCATTGGGATCTCGGAAACTATGGGAGATACGAAGATGGTTGTATTAGGGCAAAGTTGCGCATTTATATGACTAACAACGTGTTGAGAAAGTTCTGAAATTCCGAGTATATTCAGAGATATCCGGAAGAAACAGAAATTTCGTAAAATGGTTTTATTTTTTGCTGGCTTTATTTTTCGAAGGATCCGAAAATAAATTGCATTTTCATTTTGTTACTTTTTCTCTGCTATATAATGGTGATTTCAGATTTGCTATCCTACGTTTCGTCTTCCGGCCACCATCATCAACTTTATCTTTTCTTATGGGCGCTACATTGGATTCTTTCTGTTTTGAATAGAACCAGGTTTTACCTTTTCAATGATGTATCATAAGTTATCATTCTTTTTGAAAAAATTGGAGATATTGAAAAAAAATTCTTATCAAAATAGGCTTTGACTTTGTTTCTGAATTTGACTTTCAATTTGTTACACTCAATGATATTTTGTTATTGTACAAATCATTGAATTTTTGGCGAAANAATAGATACAGTGCGAGAACTGATAGAAGCAAGATCGTTATGTGACATATTGTGAGATAGAGTCACCCTTGTACATTGTTTCTACTCCAAAACATTCGATTTTGCATGAACACTGAGTTGTAAAAAAAATAGTTTGTGTTGGATACCAAATAATTTATTAATCGCTCAAAAAAGGCTCGCGTCAAGTGGTATAAGGAAATAATTAAGAAGTTTGACCGTGGTGCTCCGAAAGACATGTTTTGAATCGTGACAGGTGTAGAATCATGGATATATGCCTATGAGCCGAAAACGAAACAGCAATCAACCGTGTGGGAATTCTAAGACGAGATAAATCCAACAAAAGTTGTTCATGAAGGAAGTGCAACGAAGCGAATGGTCACCTATTTCTTCGGTCGAATGGGTCGTGTGGCCACTGTTCCGCTTGAGCAACATAAAACGGTCAATTCTGAGTGAAACACGACCATTTCGCACCCTTAGAATGAAAGTGACTCAATTCAAGATTCCTGTAACTCTCTATTTTACCATAAACTGACCTTATAAAGCAAACTCTATAACCCTGTAAAGAAAAAGTGACCTATCTCTAAGTATAACAAGGACAGCGCGTGTTTCGGTCTCTTTTACTGTTCCCGGTATTCATTTATGCATGTTGTGTGAAGGAGGCAGAACTAGTATTACGTCAGAAGTGCTTTCGAGTAGACGAGGAAAACATCGGCGTATCTCGAATTGTGTCTGTTTATTGCAAATACTGTGAAGGTGAGTAAAAACTATTTTTTTGTGATAAAGTGACCATTTATGAAATAGTATAGACCAAAATATGTAATAGTGTTCAGTGATCATTTACAGATTAGGTCTATTTAGTAAAAAATAGGTCTTATATGAATAGGTCTATTTTTGACTAAAATCATACTGATCATTTGTGTTATTTTGAATATTGAGCCTGTGTAGTAGTAAAAATGAGAAGGATCAGTTGGCTATTTTTTGGGATACGTCTCCTCAATATGAAAGTTTTGAAGAGATATTTAGTTTGGTGGGAATAACACCTTCAAAATTGCAGACTGATAAAAAAAACAAAGCAGGAAGCTTTTGACTGAATGTCTCAATAGCAATGTTGCTCAATGGGTAGAAAATCAGTATCGTGTAACAATCACCAATCCACCTATTCCGAATGACTGGACTTGCGATAAAGAAAACCAACCTAATTCTGATGCTGTATATTATAATGAATGCATATTACTACATCCAACACTTCCGTCTCAAATTGAGGACTCACATACACACGTCCACCTAGATCGTGATGTAGGTGAAGTAATTAATGATAGCTAAGAGGGTCACGTGGAAAAAACTCCATCACAGAAAGCCATCATCAATCTTGAAACAAATAACATGTCACCATCATCATCGAAGATTTCATCTGGATCTCGCCTCAGAAGAAAATCGACTCGAATAGATATGTACAAGATTTCACCATTACACTCCGGCGAAAGCGATGTGGACCTAAGCGGTAGCGATCCGACGTTTATTGTGCCAGAGAAGAAGGGTTCCCAAAGTCGCAAGAGTTTAACTAATTTTGACTCCCGCTCATCTCACAGTCAGTCGTCTCCTCCTAACAATTAACCTGCCCGTAGTTTGTTGTCAAAGAAAAAATCCTCCCGTTGAAATCCATCTTCGTTCATCTAGTAGCAGTTCTTCATCTAGCAGCAGTTCGTCATTAAGTAGCAGTAGTGCAAAAACACCA